ACCCACCCCGTCCACCCGCGGCCACACTCAGGGCGGCATGGGGCGGTGATAGGCGCGCCTCCGCCGCCAGGTTTGCCGGCGGCGGATCGGGTCCGAGTGGAGGTCGTCCTCCCGGGCCTTCTCCGCCGCCTCCTTCTGCGAGATTACTTCCTCGCAGAAGGTTGCGACCGCGGTAAAACAACTGTCGCTACCGGCCATGGAGCGTACTACGGCCGGTAGCGAGAGATCCACTCCGATGACTGCAGTGAGGGCCCGGCGCTGCGTCGCCCATGCGGGGCAGACCGCTAGCGTGTGCTGGGCCGAGTCCTCACTGCAGTCGCAGTGGTGGCAGGCGGAACTCAGTTCCCTCCTAGCGACCGAGTGCAGGTACTTTCCGAAGCAACCGTGCCCGGAAAGCACCTGCGTCAGCCGGAAGGAAAGGGTCCCGTGCTGCCGCCCTGCCCACTCGGCGATGACCGGCTGGAGAGCCTCCACGGCGGCGAAGCCATCGCGTGGAGTCTCCAGCCGGAACGACCAACGAGCCATCGTGGCTCGGCGAGCGGCTTCGCGCCACTCGCGCACATCCTCGGGCGGAGGGCGAAATCCGCTCTCCGCCCGGGAGTCAGCCACTCACCGATAAACTTCGGCGAGCACTTCCGCCTCCAAATCCCACGGGGGAGTTCCGGCCAACGCGCATGCCACCTCCGTCGAAACGGTGCGGTAACCGCGTATGGCTCTGACCGCCATTACCCTCTGAGGGCGCCAGAGGCGTGCCCTATTCTGGGTGGTCAGAGCCGCCGCCCACACCGGTGCACCGAACAGTGCGATTGACCGGACAACCCCCGTGTACAGCCGTCTTGTCGCGACGCTGGGTCCACCCAAATTGGGCAAAAGTCGCCCTAGGGCAGACGCAGCGCCGACCAGCTTTGGAGCAAGTTGTCGGTTGACACAAACCCTATACCAACCCGTCTAGCAAGCGAGGTATAGTAGGCCAAAACCTCCTTTCTAAGGAGAGGCCTATGTCCAGTAGTGGACCATTAAAGGCTGTTGATGTGACACCTCAAACACGAATTCTGGTCTCAAACCAGCAGAGCCGCGTAATGGTAACCAAGCTGCTGATTAACATACACATAAACATACATACTCGTATATAAAAAAAAATTAAGTTGCTTTAAAAACTCAAAAAGTTCTCTACTGATTGTTCTCAAGTTTTGACACGATGTACAAACCGCATCAAAGTCTGTTTTTAACTATTTTTGGAACGAAGTTCCTTATCACTTTTTATGTCAGTCATTCAGCGCCATCTATCGAATAGATAGGCAATCATTACTTTTCATCTCAGTATTTATTTTAAATTGCCACTTGTCAGTCATTCAGCGCCATCTATCGAATAGATAGGAAATCATTTCTTAAGGAGATTTTACCAATGTATAAATTGTTTTAATTAGAAACCAACTGAAAAATATGTAGGTGATAGCCGCTTTCTTAGATTGTAATTAAAATCGTGTCCAATCAGTTTTACTCGATCGTCACAACTTCGTTCCTATCGGGTGTCCCACGACACCACACGGCTTTTTTAACTATTTTTTTGAATCAATGTTGTTCCTCATGTCTTATCAAATCAACCAAAATATGCCGCAGCGAAGCGTCACAGGATACGGCTAGTTATTTATAAATTACACCCATACACCAAAGGGAATGATGGCATTCATCACCATATTTGTGTCCTGAGTGAAAATCGAATTCAGGACTTCTGGTTGTTGCCATCACTTGACCAGCATACAACACATAATAACTAGACGACATAATAATTGTTTTTCACTCAGCATCGTTCCATACGTGAATACGAAAATATTTGCACAATTGTTTATTAGTTATGAGCGTTAGTTCATAACTTAGATGCGCATGCTCCGCCCACATCACACTTCTCGCTTGTTCTCAACACTGTTGACTACAACATATACAATGACTACAAATATAAAATTTAATGTAATAAAATTGATTCACAATAAATTCGCTTTAATGACCCTTATTTCTTGGCTAGTGCCTGATTCCCGGTCAATTATTAGCATGGCCTAAATGATCTGTCAGGTAATTGGTATAATAACATTCATTTACTTCATTACTGGTTGTTATTTGCAATTCACAAAGGTCTAAACCTGCCTCTCGCAACACAGGAAAAATAAATAAATAAAGAACCCACCCCCCAACCGTGAAAACAACTAAGGACGAACAAAGTACGCCTGCAGTATGATACATTCAAAATATATAAAAAACTGACACAGTCCTTATATGTAGACATATTAAAATACAAATCATTTTACTGCTTTTCACATTTACGACTTAATTGCCTTATGGAAATATTTACCTAACAATGAGTTTAAATTTTACGATTTACCTACCACGACACGATAACATTGTAAATTTAATAAAATAGCGCCATTTTATACCAGAATTGTCGTAATAAAATTGTTTTAAAATTCAGTTCTCTCTCTCAAATCTACTTTCGATCTCACAAATGTCACACAAGCACTCTCGTAGTTAAGTATTATTAAGAATAGCAGAATACCAAATCTTTTAGTTACAATACGAAATAATCACATACCTTTTATGCCTTTTATGTCATTTGTGACATGGGAATCGATCGCAACTGAATTTTGAACGAGTTTTTATAACGAAAATTGCTCTTCAGGATTGAAGTCAAACCGAATTTTATGACCTTGCCTGGCATCCGACTGGTGGCCTATACCGTCTTACCACTTCAGAGGAATTAAACAATACATTATTACATTCAGATGCTGTTGCCATGAGACCAGAGCAGTTATTTTGATTTTAAGGTTCATATTTTTATATATTATGCTTCCGGCGGTCTCGATCGTTTTGAATATTTGTTTTTATTTAATTGGTTAGTGTACCTTGGACTGTCATTGTACAGATAAAGACCTCATCATCATCAGCCTATCGCAGTCCACTGCTGGATATAGGCCTCTCCATTTGGCGCCACTTAGATCGATTTTGGGCTTCTTGCATCCAGCTCCTGCCCGCCATCTTGCGCAAATCGTCACTCCACCTGGCCTGCGGGCGTCCCACACTACGTTTGCCGAGAGGCGATCTCCATTCAAGAACTCGTTTTCCCCAACGGTTGTCGGTTCTGCGGCTAATATGGCCAGCCCATTGCCACTTCAGCTTGCTGATCCGGTAGGCTATTTCGTTGACCTTGATTCTCTGCCGGATCACCTCATTCCTGATACGATCCTTATCCGATAGTGACCCTGATAGATCAAAATATTATACTTGACCTCATTTTTTTTATTTATTTATTTTTATATCATTTTAAACTTCATAGCACACAATGTTTAAAAAATTTGGCTTTTTGCACCTCTTTTATATTTTATATTGTTAAGGTCTCGGTGTTAGATGTTAAATAAACATGGACTGTATGTTGCGCTGGTTTTTAATGTTTACAAGGGGTACGTTGAAAGAGCAGTGATCCCGTTCGAGTATATAAAGCGAGTGGTAATATATAATGGTAATCGTGGTGGAAGCCGTTGCGCCAGCGCCCCCACTTCTCGTTACCTCCCCGTCACCGGTTCAGCCGGTTGTAAGCACCGGCGCACCACGACGTCGAGGATCGAGGTTTGATTCTCGACAATATATAAATTCGCTCCGCCCGCATGCATGTCCATAGTGCAAAAGTGGGCCATGTTACTCGCTGATAATGTAGATTTCAACTCGTGAAAGAATTTTTTAATTAGGTTTGTGGTTAAGGCGTGAAAGCGTAATGAACAAAACAAAAAACAAATTCACTTTCACATTTATAATATACAAAGCGGCAAAGTAAAATCAAATCAAATCAAAGTATGAAAGTATAATCTATACAAATAAATAAAATTAGAGTGTCTGTTTGTAATATTAAAATAACCGCTTTTTACTTAATGCATATGTATGTTTACACGGTACATATGCCAAAAAAAACATTTTTTTCCGACGATTTCGACGGGACTTCCACTGGCAGATAGCTGATGACATAAGGAGTAACTTAGGCTACTTTTTTTAGACTAGCTTCGCCCCGCGGCGTTGCCCGCGGTTATAACAACAAACGCGGGTAACACCGCGCGTCTCAGCTAGTCTTATATATAAAATTCTCGTGTCACAATGTTAGTTACCGTACTCCTCCGGAATGGCTGGACCGATTTTTATGAAATTTTCTGTGCACATCGGGTAGGTCTGAGAATCGGCCAACATCTATTTTTCATATCCCTAAATGACAAGGGTGACCCACCCCTAAACTTTTTTTTTCAATATATCCTAGAAATAATGTTTATGGCAAAACAACGTTTGCCGGGACAGCTAGTATATTATATATTCAATGTTCCAATGTTTTGCTTCCGGATGACTTATTTGTTACAAAGGTATTAAAAAGAATTTTTCGATTTTGTTAATGTATGAATGTAAGTAGTCTCTAAAGTTTAAAAAAAACAAAGAGATTTATGGTGATGATCTGCAAACATTCTTACGTAATTATATACACATACTTGTAGATATTTTGGAGGCCAAAACAGCAGTATACGTTTTATCGGTAATTCGCGAAATAAAGAATTACACAATCCTCTAACCGTTCAGTCAAATGACTCCATAAGAAGTAATATTCGGATTGCTCAACCTACATACAGATCTCATTTATAAATTCTAACATAATGTTTATTATCAACAGAAAATAGTGGCGGTGGAGCGATAAGCACGTCTCGTCGAAGAAGAATACAAAAAGAAATCTGTGTAAAGAAGAAAGAAATATCAGTGTGAAATAAACATAAAAAAAAATAGTGAACATAAATAAAAGTTAGATTAAAAAAGTGTATTCGAAAATAAAAAACAAATAAATAAAAATATGTGTACATAATAAAACAATCAAATACTTTATTTAAAAGAGAAGTGTAATCGAATAACAATTTCGAATTTGGAATCTGATGAACAATTAAAAAAGTGATTTTGTTTTTAAATAAAGTTACGCTCAATTCAAAATGGTAATAAAAATAACAGATCAAATTAATAACAGTGTACAAAAACAGGATCCGTTTGCAAAACTACTCGGCGATTTTGGACGATGGCAGTTTTTGGTGTTCGGCACAGTATCGCTTGTAAAGTTAAGTTCAGGATGGGTTCAGATGGCAATATTATTCTTGATACCGAACTTGACATTTTGGTGCGCGAATCTACCGAACGCTACAGAAGAATTGTTGAACAATACTTGTTATAAAGAGTGCTTGGAGTATAAGTACGATGTTAGTCCCTTTGATAACACTATAGTGTCTGAGTGGGACTTAATATGCGAGAGAAGATGGTTGGCGAGCTTTACACAGATGATGCTGCAGCTTGGAGTCCTGGTCGGTAGTGTGATCTTTGGATTTCTGTCAGACAGGTGATTATATTTAATACTAGCTACTACCAGCGACTTCTGCTTCTGAGGTTTTCCGAAAGGATCAATAGCCTAAGTTACTCCTCATGTAGACAGCTACCTTGTAGTAAAATATTATCAAAATCAGTACAGCCATTTTGAAGATTACCTACACAAACAGACAGACAGACAAAAAATATTTAAACTAGCTTTTAGGTGATCATGAAAAAACCTAATATTTTGACATTACAAACAGACACTCCAATTATTATTATTTTTTTTATTTTTTACTCACAACTCACACACGGCCGTCTGATCCCAAACTAGGCAGAGCCTGTACTATGGTAACCAGACTGCTGATAAACATACTTATATATTTCTAAATACATACATATTATAGATAAATTACACCCAGACACAGAACAAATGACCGTGCTCATCACACAATATTTGTCCTGGGTGGGAATCGAACCCACGACCTCCGGTTTAGCGGTCAGGGTCACTAACCACTAGACCAACAGGCCTGTATTTATTTGTATAGATACATACACATCATAGATAGATTACGCTCATACACAGAACAAAATTAAATGATCGTGTTCATCACAGAATTCTTTGTTCTGGATAGGAATGGAACCCACAACCTTTGGCTTAGTAGTCAGAATTGTTAACCATGAGCCAACAGGTAGTACAGTCTTAAACACATGCAGTAAAATAAATGAGGCTGTAGAGATTATTAAAGCACATATATATTAATTGTTTGTGTGGAAATGTTCTTAATGTAATGTGTGTTAATTACAGTTAATCTGTAATAATTAGAGTGTCCTGCGTAGTTTTTTCCCTTAGTCGGCTCTTACGACACCCACGGGATGAATAGGAATAGAATAGGATAGAGAGAAGAAAAACTTGACACAAACCCTTTTTTTTTTTTTTTTTTTTAACGTGTGGAAATCCCCTCGGACTGTCACCCCTCCGGGGTTTGCGGCGGGGTGGTGTGTCGGACTCGGACCGACTAAAACCACACGGTGTGCCACTCTGCGCCTGTAACAGGAGGGATCCGGGAACAGCTGTTGTTAAGACATCCGGACCCCTCCTAGCGCCAGCCCGCTCCTAGTGCGGGCTCCGTCTCAATACATTTTCCTCTCTTTAGGCGACGTCCGGCACACGCGGACGCCGCCCCCTCGCGGCTGGCCAACTAATGCGGGTGGAGGGGAAACCCACCCCGTCCACCCGCGGCCACACTCAGGGCGGCATGAGGCTGTGGTAGGCGGGCCTCCGCCGCCCGGTTCGCCGGCGGCGGATCGGGTCCGAGTGGAGGTCGTCCTCCCGGGCCCTCTCCGCCGCCTCCTTCCGCGAGATTACTACCTCGCAGAAGGTTGCGACCGCGGTAAAACAACTGTCGCTACCGGCCATGGAGCGTACTACGGCCGGTAGCGAGAGATCCACTCCGATGACTGCAGTGAGGGCCCGGCGCTGCGCCGCCCATGCGGGGCAGACCGCCAGCGTGTGCTGGGCCGAGTCCTCACTGCAGTCGCAGTGGTGGCAGGCGGGACTCAGTTCCCTCCTAGCGACCGTGTGCAGGTACTTTCCGAAGCAACCGTGCCCGGAAAGCACCTGCGTCAGTCGGAAGGAAAGCGTCCCGTGCTGCCGCCCTGCCCACTCGGCGATGACCGGCTGGAGAGCCTCCACGGCGGCGAAGCCAGCGCGTGGAGTCTCCAGCCGGAACGACCAACGAGCCATCGTGGCTCGGCGAGCGGCTTCGCGCCACTCGCGCACATCCTCGGGCGGAGGGCGAAATCCGCCTTCCGCCCGGAAGTCAGCCACTCGCCGATAAACTTCGGCGAGCACTTCCGCCTCCAAATCCCACGGGGGAGTTCCGGCCAATGCGCATGCCACCTCCGTCGAAACGGTGCGGTAACCGCGTATGGCTCTGACCGCCATTACCCTCTGAGGGCGCCAGAGGCGTACCCTATTCTGGGCGGTCAGAGCCGCCGCCCACACCGGTGCACCGTACAGCGCCATTGACCGGACAACCCCCGTGTACAGCCGTCTTGTCGCGACGCTGGGTCCACCCATATTGGGCAAGAGTCGCCCTAGGGCAGACGCAGCGCCGACCAGCTTTGGAGCAAGCTGTCGGAAGTGCTCGTCGAAGAGCCACCTCCCGTCGAGGATCAGGCCCAGATATTTCATCTGGGCCCGAACCGGTACGAGGACCGAGTTGACCACGATGGAGGCGCCAGGGGGTGGACCACGACGGGGCCCATGAAATAACAGGGCCTCCGTCTTATCTAGGGCCACCCGTAAGCCCAGCGCCTCAATGCGCCCGACCACCAGGGAGACTCCCCCTGTGGCCAGGCGCGCCGCCTCTTGGAAGTTTGCCCCCCGGGCTGTCACCAAGGTATCGTCTGCATAACAGATTACACCCAGCCCGGGGGGGAAATCGGCGCGAAGGGCCCAGTCGTACCCTATGTTCCACAAGAGGGGTCCAAGAACAGACCCCTGTGGAACACCGCACGACATGGGCCGACACCTCAAATTACCTTCTCGGTCCTCGTACACGACGGTACGCTCCTCTAAATAGTCTGCCACCAGCCGCCTCAGGTACTTTGGCACCCCATGATAGTGGAGTGCTTCCCTGATGCAGCTGAATGGCAGACTATTGAATGCGTTGGCGATGTCCAATGACACCGCCAACAGCACGCCGCCACAGCTCACGGCCTCTTCGGTCACGGCCCTCAGGCGCAACACGGCGTCGACCGTCGAACGCCCCGCCCGAAAACCAAATTGGGCGTCCGACAGATCGGGGCCCACCTCGCAGAGGTGCCGGACGATGCGGGCAGAAAGAACCCTCTCAAACAATTTGCCCGCCTCGTCCAGCAGCACGATGGGCCTATAGGCCGCGACCGAATCGGCAGGCCGTCCCGGCTTCCGCAATAGGACCAGCTTCCCGCTCTTCCAGCACTCAGGGAAGCGTCCCGACGCCAAGCTAGCGTCGAACACCTCCCCGAGGCGGTCTGCCATGTGGTTGAGGGCCAGGGCCAGCACTCGGGCCGGTACCCCGTCTGGCCCAGGGGCGGTGTTCTTGGAACGGATCCGTAGAACAGCCGCCCCTACCTCCGATTCCCGGACGGGCGGAACATTATCCTCCCCGTGCTCCCCGTCGTCTCCGGCCAAAGAGGCCATCGACGGGGGAGTGTGTTCCGCCCGTTGTGGGAAAAGGCCCTCAACCACTTCTCGCAGGAAGCTGGGCTGGAGAGTCTCCGTAAGGGGGGGGCCCGACGCGCGGAGCTTTTGTCGCACCGCGCGGTAAGGGCGACCCCAGGGGTCACGATTAAGACCCTCCAGCATCTCCCGTCTCTTTTCCTCTTTGGCGCGGCTAATGGCCAGCTTCAGAGTTTTCCGAGCCCGTCGGTACTCCTCATGAAGCCGGTCCTCCTCACCGTCTCCACGGTGACGCCGCCGACTGCGTGTGTAGGACCTCCGGGCACGTGTACAGGCCGCACGGAGGTCCGCCAGCTCCTGGGACCACCAGTAGACCTCCTTCCTTGGAGGCCGACGACCTCGAACGCGGGGCATGGCCGCATCGCATACATGCGTAATCGCATCGCGAAAGCGGCCAGCCCCCACGTCGACCTCCTCGGTCGGAGCCTGAGGAGACAGCCACGAGTGAATTATGGCTGCCTCCTCTAGTAGGTCCCGGTTCAGCCTGGCAACAGCCCACCGCGGAAAGCGGGATAAACGCCGCGCCACGTGACCCCTACTGGAGTCCTGGGTCCGGGAGAGCTCAAATCGGATATACAGGTGATCCGAGAGCGTCTCAACCTCTTCCAGGACACACCAGTTCCTTACTCGTGCGGCGAGGGCAGGGGTAGCGAACGAAAGGTCCACTATCGACCCCCCCTGCTGTCGCACGCACGTGTTGGTGGAGCCTCTGTTTAGAAGACAGAGGCCCACCGAGGCCGCCCACTCCTCTACGGCCTCGCCCCTGGCGTCCGTCCTGGGGGAACCCCACGCAATGGACTTTGCGTTGAAGTCCCCCAGCACAAGGACGTGCCCAGACGCTAGTCGCCGTATCGAGGTCTCCAAGCTGGTTAGGAAAACCTCGAAGTCGTTCAAACTCCGGTTGGGGGAGAAATAGACACCATATATGGTGATCCCCCCCCACTCGACGGCAACATATCCAGTGCCCTTGTCTCTTAGCGACAAGGGCGGGGAATGAGCCGTCGTGGAACCGACGACTGCCACGGAGCCGTCCCAGTCACCCATCCAGTTTGGACGGGGAGGGACAGAATAGGGCTCCGCGACTACGGCAACACCTATCGACCACTGTGCCATGGTTTGCAGGAAGAGATCCTGCGCCGCGGCACAGTGGTTCAGGTTCGTCTGGACCAGGAGGTTGGAGACTTGATCCATTACTGGATCGTCTCTACAACCTCCTCCATGGGCGACGACGTCGACGCACGAACTACATCGGAGGCAGCCTGGGTCGACTGGCTAACCCCCGACGTCTGCCGAGAACTGCGGGGAGGCTTGCAGCCTCTCTGCCCCATCTGGTGATTGGCGGGCTTATTGCCCGCCGCACACACTGGGCAGTGAGGGGCGGCAGAGCATTCTGCCGCCTTATGCCCCGGTTGACCGCAGCGGAAACACAGTCCGCCGCAGTCAAAACAACTGTCGCACTTGACGCGCGTGTGTCCCGATGCCAGGCATTTGTAGCATCTCATCGGTCTCGCCGCCAGGACTGTGATCCTGGCGCTCACGAAACCGATGAGCAGCCTGCCGGCGTCGGCCAATACTTTGGCCGACGCTACGGGACAGCTGACCCACACGGCGCCAAGCCCTCCTGGACCGGGGCGGATGGTGCCGACCCTGACGTTGTCCGCGCTGCACCCCGTCTTCTCCCGGATTACAGCGCGGACATCTTCGGCCGTCACTGAGTCGTCCAGGCCCGAGATGCGCAGTTCCGCGCACTTGGTAGGCCTGGCGACCCTGACACCATCTGTGGCTGCAAATATTCCCCGCAG